GTGCTTTTACAGCCGTCTCTAAGCTGTTTATAGAGTCAGCATATGGCCCCCAACAGTCTGGATCCTCATTTTACCAACCTCAGAAGGATGGAAGGCTGAGTTAACCTCCAGTCAGTCAGCACAGAACTGCTGGCAGCAGAGTTAACCTGCAATACTGCATTCTAACCACTGCACCATCATGGCTCATTAAGGAAGTTCCTGCAGTGGACCAAATGATCTCCAAACCTCTTTCTAAACTTTTGCCATTTTTTTGTCATCTCAAATCTGTTAGCTCAAAAATATCCTGATCCTCCAATGGTTGACTTCCTATCCTTTGTTCCTGAAATATCCCACCTGGGAAATCTTTATGAGAGATACTAAATTTACTTTCAAACCTGACTTCAAGATTATTTTTTGTTATTCTATGTTGGTCATAACATCTCTTAGTGAAATAATGATTTTAACTGTGTAGGCTGCTTTGAGTTACACATCAACTGGGAGACTATATAAATTGATCTAATAAATAAATAAAATGCAAAAGAAGGCATATTATTGCTTGGCACTTTATTTTTCTCTTTGTTATGGAAAAGCAAAACTGTCCATCCTGGTATTTAAGGATATGCCACTTTTGTTTATTTCTTATTTTTAAAAGACGGATGCACTAAGATTTGTAGCTTGGTGAATACTTTCCAGTCTTTGCAAATTTGTCTTTGCATTTTTGCCTTATACATGCAGATTTTGCAATATGTTTCATTAATATATTTTGTCAGCTAAGTTAATAATGATCTTTCCCTATTATGCATTTATTTATTGGTGTGTTTCAAAATGTGAAGTATTAAAATTTCTAGAATAATTATATTGAATTACTAGGTCATAAATACAAAATTGAGAGTCAGTTTGGGTTAGCAAAGACACCAGGCCAGAAACTGGGAGACTGAATTCTAGTCCTTCATTAGGCACAATGCCAGCTGGGTGACCTTGAGTGAGCCAACCACTCTTTCTGAGCCCTCAGAAGAAGGAGGCAATGGAAAACCACTTCTGAAAAACCTCATTGCCAACCAAACCTCAGAACCATGTCCAAGAATTAAGATTGATTCTCAAAGGCTTCCCAGGGGCATGTTGTAAATTCCAACATTTGTGGCCAGGTTTCTATTGCTTATATCTATGAGCCACTAAGCACATTACTGGTAGGACAGAAGTAATTAACAAAATTATTGCATAATCAAATAGATAAACAGCTTTATAGAACCATAATATTTTGCTTAATGCAAATTTTCAGTCTGTATGGAGGAGAGCTTTGATTTTATTTAGTATGATGAGTCAATAACATCATGAAAACTGGGGAAGGAATGGAGCAGGCTTGATCTAGTTCTCCTTCTGAAGAGTCTTTAATTGTCACTCTAAATCCATCAGGCAGTGATCTGAGAACTTGTGACAGCTGAGCTCTGCATAAATCAGGAGGAAAAGTAAGAAGGAGAAAGAAAAAAAATTGAGCAGCAAAGCAAGAATTTGAAAGGAAAAAAAGAAAAGAAAGTAAGCCACTCCATAGGCATATTGAGCTCTGACTGTATTCTTTTTTGGCATGTAGCAGTGGTGGGTTTCAAATTTTTTTAGAACCTATTCTGTTTTGTGGGAGTGGCTCGGTGGTCATGTGACTGGGCGGGAGTGACCAACTTGAAAAATGTGGTGAAACTCACTTAACAATGCACTTCCTTAGCTACCAAAATTTTGGGCTCAATTGTGATCATGTTCTCTTTTTTCCTTCCTTCCTTCCTTCCTTCCTTCCTTCCTTCCTTCCTTCCTTCCTTCCTTCCTTCCTTCCTTCCTTCCTTNGGAGTAGGTACACAACACTATATTATACTTGCCTGCCAGCAAGTCTTGTATTCCCTCTCATCCTGGCCAGGATTTGTTCAGATTTTCTCCTTTCCCTTACTCACACAAAGGGTCCTTGGGCTGACTGGGATTTCCCTCGATGGTGGAAGGTGTCCTCCCCCGTTCCTCCGAAGCAAGAAGCCTTGTGGCGCCACAGGTGTCCGGGGCTCGGATCCTTCCGCCAGCGTGGGGTCCTGGTCATCCGGAGCGAAAGATCGCCTGGTTGTCCCACTCTGGGGTGCCAGAAATGTAGCAGAAAATGAGAAGACCAGCTCTTTGTCAGAGGGAGAGGTTTATTTGCGCAAAGGTTCAGGAGCGAGTGGTCAAGCAAAAACCTGAACCCTGAAGGGCAGTTGTTTACAGTCTTTTATACTGTTAGACAACTTATTGTAGCAAAGGAGGAGTGCAGAACTGCATAGCACCTATTCTTTTTCACAGCAGTAGTGATGAAATGTTAGAAGAACAAATTGGTTCAAATTGGGAAACAAGTATGTCAAGGTTATTTACTGACATCCTTTCCATTTAACTTATATACAGAACATATGAAAATGCTGGATTGGAAGAAGTTGGAATTAACATTACAGCAAGACATGTTAACTTCATTTATGCTGATAAAACCACTTTGGTAACTGGAATCAAGGAAGGCTTTAAAAAAATACCTTGTTCAAAGATGACTGCAAAAGCCCATTGGCTCAATTTTTAAAAAGTAATCTGCTAGTGAGAATTCATCACGGATGAATCACAGTAGTGGAAGAACAGCAAACTTTGTCTTCCTAGGCTCAAAAATCTACAGGGATAAATAAAACCCCTGCTTTTTGCGAGAGCTATAGCAAATTAGACAAAATATTGAAGTATAGACATCACACTGTCAAGGAATGTACATCTTGTCAAGGTCATGGTCTCTTTAGCCGTAACACATAGCTGTAAAAGCTGGACCATCTGGTAGGCTAAATGAAGAAAAATGGGTGCTTCTGAATTATGGTGCTGGAGAAAATCCTAGGGAGTATTTTGGACAGCAAAAACAAATCTAGATGAAGTCACTTTTAGATGAAGTAAAATCAGCTCACTTGAATCATGGATTTAAAGCAAATGCACTAGCAAGAATGTTTGGCGAAGTCGGTGCTGTTGAAAAAAAACAAAGCAATAGACAAGATGGCACCAATAACTAGCATGACCTGCAAAAACTGAAAGCAGCAATTACTGACCTAATCCATCTCATGTAGAATCAGAAGCAGCTGAACAAGAGGCTGATTATCAACACCAAACCAATTTGCAGCTGAGCAATGGGATGAGACAGTTGTAAGGATGAAAAGTGTGAAATATTATTTTTTCCTCTTTCATAAATTTTCCTAAGGCATGCCGCTTTTTACTGGCAGCAAGGAAGGAATAGTTTCCTTGGTGGGCATTATTAACCCTCAAATTAAATTGGGAACAGAGATTTCTATGAACTCTGGAAGAGGATTCAATTATAAATGAAGATGTACCTCTTGGGACTGTTGACAACTCTGAGAAGTTAGGGNGGCGGCGCTGGACACGGGGGCGGTGGGCCGCTGGTGACGTCAGAGTGCCACCAGCGGTCCAGTAACACCCCTTGTGCCAGTTAGCCCTAATTTGCATACAGAAAGAAACTATGGCCCCCGGCCGCTGCAGTGATCATGGCCCCCGGCCGCTGCAGCGATCATGGCCCCCGGCCGCTGCACGGCCCGGTGCCAGGTACTCCACGGCCCGGCACCGGTCCGTGGACTGGGGGTTGGGGATCACTGCTTTACAGCCCACTCTAAGCAGTTTACAAAGTCAGCATTCCCCCCCCCCCCAAAACAATTTGGTCATCATTTTATCGACCTCGGAAGGATGCAAGGCTGAGTCAACCTTGAATCATTCAGAATGAAAGTCCTGGGATGAGCAGTGAGCTAGCCCTGTTTATATAACCTTATAATACAATAGAAATAGTTCATCTTGTTGTGTTTTCTGTCTGGACTACCTAGGAAGCTGATAAGTCCCCAGGCTTCACAGTAACAAGGTCAAGAGGTAGAAACCAGTGGTGAAATTCAATTTTTTTACTACCGGTTCTGTGGGCATGGCCTGGTGGGCATGGTAGGGGAAGGATACTGCAAAATCCCCATTCTCTCCCCTCTCTGGGTCCAGTCAGAGGTGGTATTTGCTGGTTCTCTGAACCACTCAAAATTTCTGCTACGGTTCTCCAGAATCTGTCAGAACCTACTGGATTTCACCCCTGGTAGAAATCTATCTTTATTAGGAATCTAGGAAAATCTTCATAATTGATGTAAGGCACTATTTCAAACCTTTTAGCAATCAGAGGCTTAGTCAATGTGCCTCCAAAGAGAAGCCAGACACTGTAGAATTCTGTAGGACCAGAGGGATAGAGATGGAGAACCTACTCATCCCAATCCTCCAATCAGGAGAGCAAGGATGGGAACCAAAGCTCATTTCTTTGTTGTAGGATGCCGTTTGATTTGCTTCTGCTGCTGTAAAGATTCAGTTCACAAGTATTGTGGAAAAAGCCCTGCTATGTAAGACAGCCTGGAGAACAATTGCAGTTTGTGGGCTCTACAAATGTAGATTGGGTTCCCCCTATCAGGCCGCTGATATCAATTAAAAATATCCAGAAATCTTTTTTTATAGAAAGAAGTATTTCCTTTAAAATTAAAGATACATCTGCATCCTGGCAGGGGATTACTGGGCTGTTTTTAAATTTCACAGGTTAATTTAGATTTTAGAGGAAAGGGAAAGCCTTTCTGCTCTTACCAAATTCCAACAAACAGTTCTCCATCCATCAGCCAACGAAGGAGTGATTAAGCAAACCAGGGAAAAGCTATGTTTATTGTCTATGTTGTTGTTGTTGTTATTATTATTATTATTATTCAAGTGTTTATATCTGGCAGAGAAGAGAGGGGGATAGTCAATAGAGAACATGATACCTTATTGTAGCCAGAGTGTTATGAATTTGTTTGGTAGGAAGTACGCTGCACAGACTGCAACTGGTCAAATGTGCATAAGGATTTTAGCCTCAAAATGAGCTTCTCTCTCTCTGTTTTCTGGGACCCATTTTGCCTGCAGAAGCTATGAATTCCTGCAGCTGCTATGTAGAGCTTTTTAAATTATGATACAAGAAACAGGTGATCACCGGAGCCTTTTAAATCACATTTATTAACAGATGCAGAAAAAATACAAATAAAACCATATTCCCTCACCACCCGCAACTCCAACCGCCATTGACACAGAGAGTAAACCCATCTCTTGCCTGCCTGTCCCCCCCCTCCAGGTGCCTCCATAGAACTTATAGGGAAGGACACCTGCACAAGTCTCATGGGATAGTACAGTCAGTGGGGTCCAAAGAGACAGTGACATCCGCCTTGCACTGAATGAGGCTGGGCACACCAGGCAGTAGCTGGCAGCTTTGCAGTTCTGGAGCCACTTCCTTCACACACACTGCCTGGAGAAAAGACAAAAGACAGGAAGGAAAGATAAGGGCAACAGCAGATACTCCACCTGAGCCTCCTTTGTCCAGGGCATGTACTTATTTGGGAATATGCCCTATGGGCTTCTTATGTAATAGATTTCTTGGAGAGGAGTAGCAGCTTGTGAAGTTGGGGCTGTTGGTCTCCCTGGGCTTTTAACAATTCTACTGATACTCCAAGAGCCACTTTAAGTGAATGTAAGCCCCACTGAATGGCACTGAATTTATGGTACTTCTGGAGAAGTACATCTTGCATGGTGATGCAATATGAATAATAATACATATGCTTAATAGAGCTAACATTTTTTCTTGCTCATAATTTTCCTTTTTTTAAAATTAGATTTTTTTATTAGTTTATCAAAGTATAAAATACAAAGAAAAAAGTAGTGAAAAACTAAGAAAAGGGGGAGGGAAAAGAGGTATAATATACAGGGAGAAAAGGAAAGAAAAAGGCACCGACTTCCGAATCTCTTTAGCACAGAAGATAACATTACAACCACAACTTTCTGCTTTTACACAACAGTATGTACAAGCCATTTCTATAACAAAAAACCCATCTTAAGTTAACAAAGGCAAAATCAAAGTTTCATTTTTTTGTTTCATTGCAAGCACAAAATCTGGAAGCAATTTCAGAATAGGAGCAAGATTAGATCTCTTTGGATAAAAGAATCAATTTAACCATCTCTGCTTCTTGCTCATAATTGCTACCAATTTCCTATCTCAAAGATGTGTTTTCCAAAAGGCAACTGGGCTTCGTTTTATCCTTGAAGTCATTTCACTTCTCATCCAGGAAGCTTCTTCAATCAGAATTGAAGAAACTTCTTGGTTGAGAAGCGAAAACATATTCAAGGAAAAAAGTCCAGTTGCCTTTTGAAAAACGCATCTTTGTGACAAGGATGACCTAGGTGACCAAGAATCTCCACAGACGGATTTCCTATGTTGTTTTCACTTTTGGTTAAAATGAGGAAAACTACGAATTGGGAATGGAGCTGCTATAGTACATATTGTGGTAAAATAAAATGCAATACAGCACAGGGCTAACATAGACCACTGAACATAAAGTAGATGCATCAGAGACAAGATTTCCCCATTTATTTGTACCCATTCCCTGTGTTCTTATTCATGTTTATTTTTATTCCTGTTATCTTATACATGAGTGACTAAATAAATAAATGAATAAAATATTCACCCTCATCGATGGGCGCCCCTAAGCATTTTCCCTCTCCCCCGAGTTTACTCTCCGTCCCATTCCCGGAGCAACTTCTTACCAGGTTGCGCAGCCCGCCGAAATTCTGCCGCGACTCGGACATGGTGAGAGAGGATGCGGCGGGGCCGTCCTCGGCGCTACTGTCCGCAGCGCCGTTGTCGTCGGAGCGGCGCATGTAAGGGGAACGGCGGATACCGGAGAGCAGCCCCGACGCCCTGCCCACCGAGTAGTAGCTGGGGCCGGCCGCCTGCTTGTACCACGCCCCGGCGGGAGGGCTGAGCAGCAGGGCCAGGGTGAGGCAGAGCAGCGCCAGGATCGGTGGTCCGCTCATGCTGCCAAGGGCTTGAAACGGCTGGGCTGGGAGGTCGCCATCGGGCGCCTCCTTTTATAACACCGGGGAGGCAGAGAGCGGGGACCAGCCAGGCGGCTCAGAAGCCCCCGAACGGGCGGTAGAGACGAGCACGTGACGCGGCGCTCTCTTCGCGGGGAAGCTGCCTGCTCCGGCGGAGGGGGGGAGGGCGGCTGTTTTTTGCTTTAGCGCAGGGGGTCTTCAAACTTGGTAACTTTTAAGACTTGTGGCTTAGCTGGCTGGAGGATTCTGGGAGTTGAAGTCCACAAGTCTTAAAGTTGTCAAGTTTGGGGACCCCTGCAAGTTTAACTCTTTTCCCCGCGTCCGTTCCACCGACTTCACTCGCGAGCTGTGGGGCTCCGCCACAAGTCCGCCTCCCGTTTCTCCTTTGGCGGGAAGAAATAAGACTCGAAGAACGACGCGCTGGGCTCGCTCCTCCGTCGAGAGGATGAGGCCAGAGTGAAGGTTCCCTGGGGGCAGGGGAAAAAGCGCTGGCCCTCAACGACCGACGTTGCAGCAAACACCAGTCGCTAACCGAACCCCGAGAGTCATGGAAGGCCGCCCCCCCCCCCGCACTTATAGATGCACTGGAAACATATAACAAGATGATTTGTTAGCAGAATAGTTTGTGGCTGGTGGGAACGCAGTCCATATTCCTCTCACATCTTTCCCCAATATTGTTTAGTTTTAGCAGCATTGGCAACGGAATCTGACTTTGGCACATGAATCTATAGAAAAATTAAGTGGTTTAGGTTTGTGTTTTATTTCTCTCAAATCTCCATGTGCAAACAATTTAAAATCTATTTTTTTACAAGTGGTTCTGATGGTTAAAAAGGGGTTAACTAGGCTGTTGACAAGCCCTTTCTGCAATTGTAGGTATTTATATGCAGTGCAAATATCTACATTTATTTCTGCCTGTTATAGAGGTAGTACTCAACAACCACAGATTAACAGAGTTGGAAGGGACCTTAGGTTATCTAGTCCAAACCCTCCCTTCAAGCAGGAGACCCTACACTATTTCTGACAGATGGCAGTCCAGTCTCTTCTTTAAAGCTTCCAGTGCTGAAGCTCCCACAACTTCCGAAGGCAACTTATGTTCCATTAGTTGATTGTTCTAACTCAGAAAATTTCTCCTTATTTCTAGGTTGAATCTCTCCTTGGTCAACCACAATTGAGCCCAGAATGTATATTGCTAAAAGATTTGTAAAGTGAGTTTTACCCCATTTTACAACCTTTCTTGCCACAGTTGCTAAGTGGATAGTTGCAGTTGTTAAGTTAGAAACATAGTTAAATGAATCTGATTTCCCCATTGATTTTGCTTGTCAGGTCATAAAAGCTGTTCACTTGACCCTGTGACACTGCAACCATCATAAATATGAACCAGTTGCCAAGCACCTGGATTTTGATCACATGACTATGGGGATGCTGCAAGGGTTGTAAAAGGGAGAAAAAATGGTTATAAGGCAATTTTTGCAGTGCCATTGTAATTTTGTATGGTTACTAAATGAACTGTTGTAAATCAAAGGCTACCTGTACTGCAATCCTTGATTCTGGACTGGACAATTGTTTCTTGCTAAAACAGGATGGTGAGAATAATGCTTTTAATTTTAACAGAATAAAAGTTTGTTCTTTCAAGTAGATGGTTCACAGCTATAGTAAAATGCTGATCAATTACTAAGGAGAACATGAATCAGGAACCCTGGTAGCACCTTCTCCAGCTATTAAACTTTATTAAAAGTCATAATCATTTCAGTCCATGAAAATAATTTTTGCCTTAAAAGAGTATCTTAAAAAGAATTGTTAGTTGGAAAACCAGCTTCCTGTTTTTTTGCTACCATACATGGCTCTTCTACAAATAAGATAGTGTTTGTTGCTGCCCTCTTATGTTATCTGGATCATCTAAAAAATTCCTAATCCAGTTGTAGTGCAATAACCCATGTATCAATGATATGGTGTACAGTATGCCTACTGTTCTATTGTTGTATAACAAAATGTATACAATTTGTAAAGCAAAGCCCCAATAGCAGTCCAAAATAATAATAAACTGTATAACGAGTATTTTAAGTTATAGTGTGTTTTTCATTCTCCAAAGATAAAAATCACTCTGCCAGTTTTCAGCTATTTCCAATTGCAGAAATTTCAAAAGCCACACAAAGTCACTTACATTGTGTGACTTAGCAGAGGTGAATATGCAGAATCTTGCAGAAATCCACATTCTTCATCACATTTGGTAACAAAACCATCAACCTAGAAAATGACTTTTTGTCAATACTTAGCCATCAAAAGGTGTAGTGTAACAATGTTAAGTCTCAGTAAACTGGCACACCTATTGTTCCTTTATCTCAACACTTAAATTTTCTCCTACATGCCCTTAATTGCCCCTCCTCCAAATTGTAGTCCCTGATAAGAATTTTTTCCTCTTGAACTTAGTGTTGTGTGAATACTAGTCAATTAAATTTTATTTAGCAAACAATGATTAATCAAAGCATGACTGTCAAATACATTTATATACATTATATTCCAAATATATTTAGAAATATATTTCCAAAACATGGAAGTATAGTTATTGCCTGGTTTCAGGCCTGAAACCAGGCAATAACTCCTATAGAAAGCAGAAAAGCAGCTAAACAAAAATGAGGTATATTTACAGCTAGAAATAAAACAGAGGCAGGTACAAAAATACAATTTTCATTTAATTAAAATTTGCTCAGGGGGACAAAGTTTGGGGAACATTGGGAAGAGCATATTTTTTTGAATATAGTTAATTGTAGATCTGTTGTGTTTTACAAGACCCTGGTATCATATTTGTGACCAAAAAGCACAATTCTCCATGCTGTGGAAGATCCCAGAACTCATCAAAAGTGATAGGTAACTGTTCTTTTAAATGGATACTTTTTCCTTGATGGCTATTTCGTTAGCATCACTTNGAAAGAATTCTTATCTCACATATTTCCTGACTTCTGAGTAGCAACTGCCTCAAAGAAAGATTAGCTTAACATCTTTTAATCTCCCCTGTATACGAACTGCGAGGATTTTGAATTTGCATACCAAGCAAATGCATGCAACATGAAGCCAGGGCTTAGGGTGGGATGCAGAATTGTTATCAGGAACCTCAATTTGAATTAGGACAATTGCTTTTACTGCTTGTTCCTGGTATTGTGAGATCTATAGGACCGAATTCAATCAAGGTCTTCAGCTGTTTTTGAGGGCATTTTCTTCTTCTGCCTTCAAATCAGACTTAATTCCTGGTGGCTACCTGGGCAGCTCCTGGTTTTCTTGGAAAGATATTTCAGTTTGTTATAGCCTTCTTCCTTGGGTTGAGAGAGTAACTGGCCTAAGGTCACTCACCTGGCTTTATGCCTAAGGCAGGAATAGAACTTATAGTCTCCGAGTTTCTATTTTAGTCATTATGTCAAACTAATTCTTTTTGAGGCATTAGTAAATGGAATCTATGGAGGTTTGGAAATACATAATTTTTCTTCCTTTTAGTTTTAAAATTAATTTTAATCGATGGGTGAATGAGTGGAAATAAATGGTGAAATCCAAAACACTAAAATAACTATGGGGGTTATATTTATTAATTAATTTTATTGACTCAAATACAAAGAATTTATGCATTTCAAGTACTGAATTATATTTTAGTTGGGGCTCCCTTCATGAGGAGTGGGGTCAGAACACCTCCCTGTTCTCTCTTCCATATCAGTCTCTACATTTCAGTTACAATAAATAGAAGGACTCTGAGGGAAGGGAATGAAGTTTATTAGATCATCTTCCATTACCTTCTTACTTCAACACCTATTCCCACCTGGCCATCAACCTCACATCTGAAAATGGCTAATTAATTAATTAAGATGCAGGAAAGCCACTGGCAGTAAGCCGATTTCCTTGAATTGCTGAAAAACCATCAGTTGATGGATTCTCCCTCTGGCTTCCAATATTACCACATTGGAATTAATACATTCTAGATATCTACAAATTAAAATGGTCCTAATATTATCCTTGCAGTGGAACAAATCTTGAACATATAAAAGCAAATGTGATATAATTCTAGAAAAGTCTCTAGAAAATTATATGCATGGATCCTTTGAGATTACACAGTAATCTTGATGCAAGTATCTGTATCAAGCTACATGCAAGCTACATCTGCTGTTTCAGATAGATCTCTACCTAAGAGGGTCCCCATAAAAATTTAATCTCAAAGATAGAGGGCTAATCTAAAGGATAGATGAGCACAGGGGAAAGATTAAGTGAGCTTTGGTAAGTTCCAGCTCTTGCAAAATGAATTTCATAGTGAACAAATATCAAAATAAAAACCAGTGTAATATGAAGCTGTTTATGAATTCGTTTCAGCTATCTCTAATAATAAAGGGTAACTGACATCAAGAGATTAAAATATGGTTTGGATCAAAAGTAATCTACACAATAGCAACTGTCCTGGGAGCACCTTTTGATCTCCATAAAGTCACTTAAAAAAGAGATCCTTAAACTGAGCTCAAATTCTAATAACTGCATCACTTTGGGGGATTTTTTTGGCAGCATTACATAAATGAGTTACTATTTTGTAAATTACAACTTTTTATTTCTTGGAAGCTTGGTACATTATTGATAAATTCCACCTACTTTGTATATTGGGTCCCAAGCAGAGGTGGTATTCAGCAAGTTCTGACCAGTTCTGGAGAACTGGTAGCGAAAATTTTGAGTAGTTCGGAGAACCAGTAAATACAACCTCTGATTGGCCCCGTCCCCATCTATTCTCTGCCTCCCGAGTCCCAGCTGATTGGGAGGGAATGGGAATTTTGTAGTAACCTTTCCTTGGAGTGGGGTGGGAATGGAGATTTTACAGTATCCTTCCCCTGCCATGCCCACCAAGCCATACCATACCCACAGAACTGGTAGTAAAAAAAAATTTGAATCCCACCACTGGTCCCAAGGTCTACGGACACAGATTTATAAACACGCTAATGTCAAAAAATGACTGCATTCTCACACCATTTCTACCATCATTCATAGTTTTACTTTATATAGTTAGTATGAGTATGCTTCTATTTGCTTTTTTTCTAGGAATCATTCAGGATTTTCTTTCAGGATAACATAATTAACCTCTTCTTGGCATCCTATTTTTCTTCTGGGGAACCACTCATTATGAGAAACCACCAAAGGCAATACAAATAACATGTCCCTAACTAGCATTCATCTTAGTACTGTTTTTACTACAGATCCATTTTGTTTCTTAAGTGTTATAAGTGGATAGCAAAGGGAAATAGATCGTTGCATAACGGAATGATACATAAAATTATAACATGGATCTTGATTCCTTTTCAGTATGTAAGATTGGGGTGTATCTCTAGCATCCTAAAAGCTTACACTGTGTACCATTCAGTGCAACATTTCCCTTGTTATTAAACAAATCATTGCTTTAGAACAGGGGTCTTCAGCGTTGGCAACCTTAACACTTGTGGACTTCAACTACCAATTCGCTGGCTCAGGAATTCTGGGAGTTGAAGTCCATAAGTCTTAAAGTTGGCAAGGTTGGAGACTCTGCTTTAGAACACAGAAAAAGATCCCCTTCCCCCAGAAAAACAAAGTTAGCTCCAGGCTAGCAGCTTCCTTCACAGGTTTTACTACTTAGATTTTCTTAGAATTACTTCAAGGTGTTTAAGCAATCACTTAATTTCTACCCCTCACTAGATATTCACTCTATTCCATTCAAAAGCAATACTTGGGTTAACTACTGAATATTGCTTTTGAAATGTTGGGGGGAAGCTCTTTGGTTTTCTCATCATCTTCTTAACCTCCATTCCTGGCAATGGCTCTTCTCTGAGCAGGTCTGTCACTTTTAAACATTATGTAGATATTTCAGGTTCTGCTTGACAGCATTCCTTAAACCCTAGAACTCGTCCTTCTCACTAGTTTATTTCAACATATGGTAATAATAATAATAATGAAACTGTTGATTAAATGAGATAATCTATTTTATGTGCCTGCAATTTCAGGGCATGCTATATTTTAAGAGCAAGCAGCTTCACTTTTATATGGCAAACACTAACTGAGGGTACATCCATAACACACTCATTTGTACCTAAGTAAGCAAGACTCCTAAATTAATATATGCCCAAGATTTAAACCTAAATTGCTTTCACATTCTGGGGAAAACTGGAACCCATTTCACACAGTGAAACAGTGACAAATTCAACATCTCTGTTTTTGTGATATATTTTTGTGGAATGGAATGTGAGAATGAGAAGGGGCCTTCGGTGATCTCTGGGCTTGATTGTTTTCTTGCAGATGTTTCATTACCCAAACTAAGGTAGGTAAGATTATCAGTGCTAGCAGGGAGTGGGATTTGCTCTCAATTTATATTCTAATCTAGTGGCTTGCCCTGTTATTTTTGGTGGGAGTGGTCTAGGTGTTGTTTTTTGGTTGGGCTCTTTACTGTTTTGTTGGGCTCTTTGACTGTGGTATTGTTCACTTCTTGACTGTGGGTCTGATAGTAATCTTGGTGTTGATTGCTGATGGGGAGATGTTTTGATTTTTTTGGTTCCCTTTTTGATAGTTTCTTTTAGACAGTATGTAGATGCTGTTTATGTCTATGTGTCTATTCCCTGTGAGAATGACCTTGGGGGAGGGGATGCTGCCTAGGGAATGGTCAGATAAAAGGGGGAAGAGCCTTCAACTGAATAAGAAAGAAACTTAGAAAGGTTCTGCTCTAACTAATCACACAGCACAAATGTGTACATTCAGACTTCCAAGATAGCAATAGCACTTAGACTTATATACTGCTTCGTAGTGCTTTACAGCAGTGNAGCATCACTTTTTCATTTTAATACCATAAAGGGTTTCAATTGCACACGGAAGGCAGGGGTGGCATATCCAGCAATGATTAGCACCCACATGAGGATGAAACATCAGAAACAGTTGGTTTATCGCTGCATAGCTATGAAACTAAGTTCATGTGGGAATCTTTTGCCATAATCATTAGATTGACAAAAGATCATGAATATTGCTGCCTTTCTCATACATTTTATTCTATCTTTCTGCTTAACCGTCAAAAGAATTGGCCACAGATAGCTGCAGTCCTGGCTAGAACCAAACGTGAAGAATCACAATCTGGGTTGAAACAGGCCAGGAGCATTGCAAGGAATGACTCATTGGAACCACCCTGTAGAAATGATCTCATTTATTTCTTGGAAATAAACACAATCTGATAGTGTTTTCAGAACAAACAGTTTGATGTAGTGGTTAACCAGGAGACTGTGAATTCTGGTATCACCTTAGACACAAAAGCCAGATGAGTGACCTTGGACGAATCATTCTTTCAGCCCAACTCATCTCATAGGGTTGTTGTGGGGAAAATAGGAGGAAGGTATACATGTGTTCAACATCTTGTCTTATTTATAAAATAGGTAAAGGTTCCCCTCATACATATGTGCTAGTCATTCCGACTCTAGGGGGAAGTGCTCATCTTTTTCAAAGCCGAAGAGCCAGCGCTGCCCAAAGACGTCTCTGTGGCCAGCATGACTAAAGGCCAAAGGTGCACGGAACGCTGTTCCCTTCCCATTAAAGGTGGTTCCTATTTTTCTACTTGCATTTTTTATCGGCTTTCGAACTGCTAGGTTGGCAGAAGCTGGGACAAGTATGACATGTCATACATGGACCAACAATGTAAATTAACGTTTCAACTAGATTAGTAGAACCAAATAAAATGTTAAAAAAAAATATCTTCAAAAGTCAATGTCTAGGCTTGTGATGGCGAACCTATGGTACGCGTGCCAGAGGTGGCATGCAGCGCCCTCTCTAATGGCACACAAGCCATTGCCCCAGTTCAGCTCTGCTGGCCAGCTGGTCTTCGGGTCTCTGCTGCGCATCTGTGGGGATGGGTGGGATGCGGGGTGGCGTGTGTGCACGTGTGGGGATGAAGGGTGCATGCATGTGCCTCCTGCCGCCCAGCTGGTCTTCAGGTCTCTGCCGTGTATGCATGGGGGGTGGGGCACATGCAGAGGGTCACAAGTGCATGTGAGGGGGTTGAGTGCACGTGTGGGGATGAAGGGTGCATGCATGTGCCTCCTGCCGCCCAGCTGGTCTTCAGGTCTCTGCCGTGTATGCATGGGGGGTGGGGCACATGCAGAGGGTCACAAGTGCATGTGAGGGGGTTGA